CTTCTGAAAAGCCGTCAAAACCTGGCTGTGCCGGCAGGCCTGGGGTTGATGAGTTCCCCTCCCCTCTTGACTGGTATGGCTGCATGATTTTTGTGTATTTTAATTATGTGTACTGTTGTTTATGTTCCCTTTCCCCTTTGAGTTGTTCGCCGCCCTGAGTCCCTCCTGGAGAAGGGCGGCATACAAATAAACCAAATACAAATACAAATACAAATCCTAGATTACACACAGTGTTAAAAACACACACACACACACCACCGCACAGAATCTAAAACCTGGTTTATATTTCTCGGTTACACACTTCTGTGACCAAGAAAGAAAACTTAAGAGTAGAACGATGCATGTAAGGCTCTTTTTAGAAAGGAGAAAGGAGAGGGGAAGGAGAAAAGAGAAAGGAGAGGAGGAAAGGAGAAGGGAGAGAAGAAGGGAGCGTGGGAGGAAAAAAAAGATGGAAATAGAAGTAGGGTCATTGTAAAACAAGATGGATGTATGGGGTGGCAGGAAAAGAACCCCGATTACATTTTTAAATGAATTGTGACAAAAGTTAAAAGATAACACGCACATATTAACAGGACATATTGAGAATGTATATTTGTGAATGTTTATATATGAGAAATCAAAATAAAACTTTTTAGAAAAAAAAAGGCTCTGTTTTTAGTGGCAACTACTGACATTAGTAAGATGAGAAAAATTAGTCATCGCAGGGACCAGGCCAAGCACAGCCTTATTCCTGACCTCAGTCCTCTGCTCTTGGGTTTCTGTTACACTGTAGATTTAATCTGATGGCTTTGTGAGCTTCCAGGTTTCCTGTTATTTGCTAGTAATGTTATAATTTTTATAAACGACTTCTTTTAAAGACTGTAAGCAAAAGCTGATTAATCTTAAGTCCATCTTCAAAATCCAATGCCACAAACAAAGACTTCGTTGGTACTCCAATGAGGCATTTGCCACAAATAATCAAGTATCTGCAAAACTCACCTTTCTGCAGGGAGGTTCAACTTTGGAAACTTTAAAACCTATGGACTTCAACTCCCAGAATTCCCCAGCCAACATGAAGTCTACAAGACTTAAAGTTGCCAAGGATAGAAAGGATGAAAGCTGCATTAAGTTCAGGAGGCATATCCTTTTTCAGGGAAGCTTAAAATATTGCAGGCTGAAAGGAAATGAGATTTCATCCTGTTTCAGGGGCAGGAGTGAGTTGGGGGGTCATGTGATCACCTTTTGCAACTTTCTGATTACCCAAGTCAATGGGAAAACCAGATTCGCTTAACAACCATGTTACTAACTGAACAATTGCAGTGGTTCACTTAACAACTGTGGCAAGAAAGCTCGTAAAATGCGGGAAAACTCAGATAACGACTGTTTTGCTTCGCAACAGAAATCTTGGACTCAATTGTGGTCATAAATCAAGGATTGTCTGCATATATCTTTGTAAATCTGGACCTGATGTGTTTTGCAAGTTCTGTTTGTACTATGACTTCCTGACCTACGTGTAAGTTTTCACAAAGACAATGGGATGAACTGGGATTCTCATTTTTAAAAAAATCATAATCTACAGTTTGACATATTCAACACAATCTAAAAGTCTGTCTATAATCAATGAACTGCCTTCTTTGAGGTATTCTTGGTCTATCCCAATTATCCAGCATCCCTCAGCAATAATGTCTTGTGTTCCTCACCTTTTACTAGCTTGAACATCTGGCCTCTCCCTTTCCATGAAGGCCTCTAATCTGCACTTGATTAATTACTGGGAGGTAAATCCCATTAGAGTTTTTGAAATTTACTTTTGAACAAATCATGCAGAGGAGCAGATTGTGCTCATCCCTGTTAATCAGACAGGCAATCCTTGGTGAAACTGCAGCGAGAGATTTTTGACTAGGACAATTCTGAGGTTCCGGGTTGCAGTTGGACCCCCCCCCCCCCCGAAACTCTTTTATCAACATTGAGTCTTCTGAAAAGTTCATTGGTACCATTGTTAAAAGCCCTGAAATGGGCTTTGCCCATTTTAAATGGGTTTTACCTGGCTTAAACGCATCCCTCAGGTGTATGTGGCATCCTCCTTGACCTGTGCCGCACCCTCACATATCCTCCCTGACCCACACCACATTCCTTATGCATCCCCCCACACCCTCCCTAAGCCACACTGCGCCTCTCTCACACTTCATACCCTAATTATGCCTTTTGCACACTCCCTGACCCGTGACATGTGCCTCTCCCGTACCCCCTTGCAATCTCATGCCCCCTGCCTGACCACACTGAGGCTTATACATCTTCCCAGCCCACTTG